TTATTTGCACACTTTTAGCTTGTCAGACAACTTATCAAGGTTTAGCCCTCTGCAGAAGACTTATTTGCACACTTTTAGCTTGTCAGACAACTTATCAAGGTTTAGCCCTCTGCAGAAGACTTATTTGCACACTTTTAGCTTGTCAGACAACTTATCAAAGTTTAGCCCTCTGCAGAAGACTTATTTGCACACTTTTAGCTTCAGCTGGACTATCCCCCAATTTACTGAAAGAAAAACAGTTGACTCGTCACCACTAAGCTAAATTTCTAATAAATCCCAATATTTTCATCGCAGATCATGATTCCAAGGTTGATCAACTGGTTGAACTCTAGAATCAACAAGAAGCTCAGTCTAGGATACGATGTAGGCAAAGGATTTGTGGTTGGCGAAGAAGAAGTTAGCAAACTTATTGAACACATGGTTGACAATCCCAAAATTTTGAAAACACTGAAGAAACAATCAGAATCTTCTAGATTGGCAGTCATTAAGGAACTTGGTAAGCCCCATAACAAACTGGATGATGTAATTACTAGATATATAAATCTATACCTGATCTGCATGTCAAATAGAGAAGTTTAGTTTGAGAGATAAAGTAACATTCTGACCCCAAAAAATAATAACATTTTCTTAAGTGATGTTCACCGCGTCATACACCACTGTACAATACATGAATAGAAATACATTAAGTATTATGAAAAGAATTAAATAAAAAGTTTTCAAAATACTTACCATTACCATTAAAATCAAATTTAAATGAAGAACAGACGAGTTTTCAGACTTCTCTTAAAAACATTGAGAATGATTGATATTAATTGACTGACAAATAGAGAGTGGAAGTTCATTCCACAAAAGGGGGGCATATTTGCTAAAAGAACGCCAACCATATGTTTTTGTGGTACATTTTGAATCTTGTCTTTTAAATAACAAATATCAGTGTTAGATGACCTGAGGTCACTATGACCTGGTTCAGAATGGTCAACCAAGTCACATAAATGAATTGGAGCAGAATTATTTCAAATTTTATAGACAGTACTTTAAAATTTATTTATTCACGCAACTAAAATACACTAAAGATTGATAGATTTCCACATGCAATTAGAGTTGCCACACACACATGAATGGCATCAAACTGCGAAACAATTCAAAAATTTGAACTGTCTTTGTATCTTCATAATCAGCTGACCAAAACCAAAATTTAACAACCCTCAGTCTCGCAAAGTTCAGTGTATTCATGCAGTTGCTTTGCAGGACAGCGGTCACAATCCCCACAACATATGTTTCTTTCATTTAATTCACTCCAGGTCTGCTACAGCGAGTCCATCCTGGCATTGCGATATCTGTCAAGACACGACAAGCTATCCGAACTGTTTTGAATCACTCTCGAGATACCATCTATGAATTACAAGGGGCTGGAGTACTGGATGAAACAGAGGCTCACAAACTAGAAAAGGTAAGTACAAGAGTATGGACTACTCAATAAACACAAAACAGAATATAAGTTTGTAAAACCCAGCAACATTTTCTACAAGTATCTTGTATTGCTATCGAGATATACCCACTTTGCTTTGTGTAAACCACTATCTACTCACAAATGCATTAGAATAGAGGAAGACAGGTTGCAGAAGAGTTTGCATCAAACAGCCGGGCCAAGTCTGTTAGGGAGAGACGTATAGATAATAAGTAGCCCCAAAAGACATGGACCATCCCCAAACATGGCATCACATTCTGACAATACTGCTGTCCTGGCTTGGAGATCTGATAATAGTGGCTGTCACAATTTCAATATTAAGGAAGATGTTTTTGTATTGAATAGTGCATTTATTTATTTATATATTTTGCTCAGCAATATGTGAAAATATGGCATTATTTATACAAATCCATATATGTTTTACTAAATTTGACATTTGATTCCAGTGTGACAAGTTTCTCATTCTGTACAATGGGATCTCACCCATAATGCATTGCCAATATTGGCAGTAAAATGCTCTGTAGCGCACAATTTAAACTCAGCTTGAACTGCCTGATAACTATTTTATTGCATTCCTAGATGGTAGAAGTAAAGATGAAACAGCTCATGAATGCACCTGCTAGCATCCCACCGCCAGTACCCGAATTGCTACTCAGTAATGTTGCATGGTTACAAGGAGAACCCGTTATGCTGGATCACATCATGGTAGGAACAAGCTTTCTAAATACTATTTTTTTTTTTTTTGTATTCAAATTTGAGTCATGAATGTAGACCTTGTATGTATCCATATTGTAGACCTATGTTCATACAATATGTCTTTAATAGAACACAAGAATGCTAACATTTGTATCAATACTTATTAAATTTGCTCCTAGTTAAAGGGTGGTGGTCGCCACGTAGCACACGTTTGAATTTCACGTAAACAATGTATTTTACATGAATTGCGTCTGTCGCTATGAGTCCCACAGAACGCAGCGCAACGACCACTGCCTTTTGACTTTGTATACAACAATCCCATATTTCATCTTTCTACACAACCTTTTCTCTACAGTCAAAGGCCGAACTGATACATTACGACTTCAATGAAGTCATCGTTCAACAAGGTGAAATGCCTAATGGTGTCTATCTGATAGTATCTGGTATGGTAAAGGTGAGTCTATCAGTGTATATAACAAATGTAATGCACAAACAAAGATGAAAAGGCAAAATGATTTCCAGCACATCTAAAAGTCAGTGTACATTTTGTTCTTGAATTATATTGTTTTGTTCAAATGTTATTTTTCTTTTGTTAGTGTTCCAACATTCATGAAGATTCAGAATTACCACGACCTGCTGTGATTCTGCACCGAACAAGTCCTCAAATATTTCCCACAATTCATGTGCATTCACTGCATCATTTATGTTGTATAATATTACATATTTATTGAACATTAGTATGACCCAACGACATGTAAACACAAATTTGAAGCAAGAATTAATATTGTTGTAAATTTGAGTCAATTTTCAGTTCAGTTTGAGTCAATTTGGCTATTTTTGTCCCAATCTTCGAAGGAAAGTGCAGACTATAAACAGGACTAGTTTGTGAATTTGTGATGAAAAGTGGGAACTGGTGGTGAATAGGTTAAGATCTGTTGCTGCCTCTTTACTAAAATAGATTGTCTTCTTTCTTTTATTTATAGCTGCGAGGTTTGGGTAATTATTTAGCTGCGATAACTTCTGGTTGTGCTTCAACCGGCAGTAGCAATACCATATTTGAAGATTATCTGGGAGCCGGTAACGTGATTGGAGAAATGGGAATACTAACACACAAACCAAGAAATGTTACAGTATCATGTGAAACTTCTGTACAGGTAAATATCATTTGAAAAGTA